GCGACTCACTTATCCCAGGGTATAAAACCTAGGGCTGGCCGGTTAGCTCAGTTGGTTAGAGTGTGATGCTGATAACACCAAGGTCCAGGGTTCCATCACTGTACCAGTCAGCCGCCAAAAAAACCCCCAAAACCTTGGGTGAAAAAAAATACAAAACTAGGGCAGGCTGCTTCCCAAGGTCCCTCGGCTGCAGTGCAGTGGGACACTCACAGATGAGACGCCATCCACCTTGGGCAGCTTTCCTGAGCCTTGGGGGAGTGGCTCACCATGATTCCTAGGCTTCTGTCATCCCTTCCTGCCTTTCTGTAAGTAATAAACCTGCTTCATATAACTAGTGCGAGTGTTCTGTCTCGCTGGACTCAGGCAGGTAGTAAAAGTACAGCCCAAGATGCAGGAAGCTGAAGTGATAACCGGTGCACAGTGAACCTGCTTCACAACAAGCATTAGGCTGGACGGAGAACTGGCCAGGAGCTAAAATTCAAGAAATGAGTGACTTGATGTCAGAAAGAAAAGTCAGAAGAGGAGGCAGAGGGGAGTAGGGGTCTGATCAATGACAGGAGGGTCCAAGGTAGTGTCTGGGGAGGAAAAGGAGGAAAGGTCCGGAAGAGTTAGGTGGATGCACAGCTACCTCGAGGCCCAAAATGCCAGGATGATAAAAGAGGAAACAGGCCCTATGCAGGGAGGTGCATTGAGGACTCAGGGTCCTGGGGGAGGGAGAGCTAGGTTTATGTAACAGCAAGCAGGTAGGGGCAGAGGGGATATTGAGAACCAGAGGGCCCAGGGAAGGGTCTGGGGAGATGGAGCTAAATGAGGATTAGAATGCAGGTAATAAAGGGGCCCAAGGAACCTGAGGCCTCTTGTGACCAACAGCCTGGGCCTGCCTCACCCACTGCCGAAGCTCCAGCCCCCTTTAAAGCATGAGATGCCCAGGAAACTCGTTTAGGCTCATTCACTGTCTCCCCATCCTATGCCCCAGTTCCTTGTCCAGCCCAGAACAATTGTGTCCTTCCCCAGGCCACCAAGACCTGCAGGGATGGGAGGGTGGGAGGCAGTGAGACTCACTTTGGCCTGCAGTGAGTGTGAGGGGCCTCCAAGGGCAGCCTAGAGATTACTAGACCCGAAAGGCAGGGGAATCTCCTGGCCCACCATCCCCCCCATGCTCAGTACCATGAGAAAGTGGAGGTAGGGGATGAGCGGCAGGAGGCAGGTGGTAGAAACGTGTGATATGCGGCCAGCACAGAACCTGGGGCTGTGGGGGACAGCAGACCCAGTGCCCTGGCCCAGGAAAATAGTCAGAGCCCTGACCGGTGAGTACCACCCCTCGAGGCTGGACAATGGAGCTCAGGAATTCAGTGAGTGTCAGGGCGGGGGATTCAGAGTCGAAGTCAGAGCCCTGACCGGTGAGTACCACCCCTTGAGGCTGGACAATGGAGCTCAGGAATTCAGTGAGTGTCAGGGCGGGGGATTCAGAGTCGAAGAGCATGGTGGCCACTTACTGACCTCCTACCACATGCCTGGTACATTTCACGTGTAATATCACAGCTCTCCAGGGAGGTGCACATTGCTATCCCCATTTCACTGCTGAGCAAGCTAAGGCTGGGAGGTTAAGTAATGCCCCTAAACTGAGGTCCATCTAATCCCAGAGCCGTGTATTCCCTCTCCCTGCAAAGTGGGAGAAAGGTCAGGGCAGAGCTGGGGCTGATGGGGTCAAGTGGCCCTTGGCAATCCATCCACCAGGAATCTTGAAACCGAAGGAAGGGTCAGTGGCGCCCTCTGCCGGCCAGCCCTTCTCTGCATTCTTTTCCAAGGTCTCCCAGCCTGGGTCTGCTCAGGCCCTCCCCTCTGGGGTCTCCCATTCTCTGGTCTCCCACCCACCCTTCCTTTGCTCTGACCCGTATCCAGCAGCAGACTCGCGATGGCCAAGTTCCCATGGGACACGCTGTAGTGCAGGGCCGTGTTCCCGTTGCCATCGGCCAGGTTCACCACGTGCGCCAGCAGCTCGGGTCCCAGGCGCGTCAACCCTCCCAGCATCCCGGCCACGAGCTCTGCCTGAGAGCGCCGCTGGCTCGACACTCGAAACCACTCCTGGGCCACCAGGCGCGCCGCGCCCTGCCACGACAGAGGCAAGGCAGGAGTCAGCGATGGTCCAGCGCGCGGTGGCAAGGAGGGTGTGGGGGTAGGACTGCGAAGACTCCTTTGGCGACCCAAGCAGGGAAGGAAGGTCACTGCTTCTTCAAATCCAGGGCCATGGAGACCCAGAGGGGGACTAGGGCCGTGCTTCTTTCGGAGAGTATAGTCAGGTGGGTCCCAGACTCGAGGGGACAAGAGTCCTTCTGGGGAAGAATCTGTGGGCAAACCTGGAGTGCGTGAAGGTGGTGAGCTTAGGGAGTCTCAGAGAGAGGCTGGGGGAGGAACCGTTTTGGGGAACCTAGGAACGGTCAGCGTGATCTTTGGGCGGAGATCCCTTTGGAGAGCCTGGGCTCAGGGGCGGTCCCTGGCGAGAGGGAATGGAACTGGAGATTCTAGGAAACTGAACGAGACTTTCCTAAAAGGGAGTCAAGGGAGGTTCCTGGGGGGCCGTCGCGGCTCGCACGGTAAGGGATCTGTCTGCACTCACGCTGTCGCGGGCGACTCCGCGGGGCCGGCTGAGCTGCCTGTGCAGCGCTGCGCACGCCTCCCTCAAACGCGGGCTCAGCTCGCACCTGCAGAGGAGCCGGGGAGAGGCTCAGGAGGGATCAGGAGAGGGGCAGCCGCCCCCACTCCAAACCCCTGGCCCCGCTCACCTCCCCTGTGTCCCCAGCTGAAGCTCTGGCTCGGCCTCAGCCTCGGGGTCTCTGACGTCCCCGCCGGTGGGAGGGCCGGGGGTGCCTGGGTCGGATCCCCCGCCACTGTCGTCCTCGGAGCCTGAGGAGCTGCTCCTCAGGGGCTCAGCGGCGCTGTCCTCGCTGTCGCTGGCGTCCTCGCTGGATGAGCTCTCGTACCTGGGGACAGGGTGGGGTCGTCTACTGAGCCTCCCATGTGGGCTCCTTCTGGAGTCCTGCGAGGTGGGAGTGGCTGTCCCCATTTTACAGATGAGCAAACTGAGGATTGCCAAGACCGCGCTGTGAGCAGAGGGGCAGAGCTGGGATTCAAACCCCGGTCCATGTCCTCGCAGACGCTGCCATGGGGAGGGGGAAAGTGCTCACTCTCCGTTGAGGACCCCAACAAACTGCAGGCTCTTGGGTCCAGGGCTGGATTGGGCACCAGGTGTACCGTCTCTCTTCTTCATGATGGATTTCAGGATGCCTGGCAGGGATCAGACGAGGGCACTGAGTTCGAGTTCGACGGCCAGTAGACCAGGGCTCAGCGAAGGGTCTGGACTCACCCGCGGGGGCCACGGTCCTGTCTCCATCCGTGGATCCAAGAGGGTTCTCCTGAGTCGCGGAGGGGGCCTCCGCCGGGGGCTCGGTCTGTGTGGTCTTCTCCACACAACTCCACGGGGTTTGAGTGGCGGCCTCACGTGGCTGGGGCCGGGCCGTCGCCGCCTCCTCCTCCGCGGCCTGGTGGGCCTCCGCCAGCTCCTGTAGGCGGCTCCGCAGGAGCTGGCTCACCCCGCGCTGGTGCTCCAGGCTGGCGCGCAGCAGCTCCAGCTCGCGCTCGGCGGCCGCGGGGAGCCCCAGGAGTGCCTCTGTCACCCACGTGTCCGCCTCAACGTTCTCGGGGGCCACCTCCACGCCGGCCTCCCGAGTCTCCAGCTCTACCTGGGCACCCGCCTCTCGGGTCTCAGGCGTGGCCTCGGAACCCGCCTCCCGGGTCTGGGGCTCCCCATCGGGGATCCCTACCGCCACGTCGAGCGCGCCCTCGCTGCGCCTCGCCGCCAACCCGTCGGGGCCGTCAGCCCGGGGACTGGCCTTGGAGCGGACGCTGCGCTCGGAGGTGGCCAGGCGCTCGGTGAGCCGCCGCAGCTGGGCGAGCTTGTCCGGGCGCGCCTCGACCTCCCCGTCGGGCTCGGGCTGTCCGC